CCATGAAGAAACAAACTCATCTACATCTTGGATGGCCTGAGGATGAGTACATTTTCATCAAAGTTTCATTTATTGACTGAGCGCTGTAATTCTAGCACTTCAATACGATCTCTTTTTAAAGCCTGCTCAGCAAGTTTCTGTCAGCCTAATGAAGGCTTTTATGAGGTCTTTAATGCACTTCCATGGGCAATCATAAACGCTACCGAATCATTGCAGGGGAAGTGAATTAATCATCCTTATCATCACACTCAGACAGGGCAAACTGAGAAGTTGTCATACTGTTCTGATGGCTTTATTTTTGTAAGGCTTCAAGAGTGAGTGTGTGTGTGTGTGTGTGTGTTTGTGCAGGTGGAGAACATTACTGAGAGAGTGAGGCACGTCTTGACCTAATCTTTGAAAATGAAGAGCGAACAAGAGTGAAAAAGAAAGCGCAGATTGCAAAAAAAAGTATAATTATGGTTTATACCTCAGTATTGTTTTCAGTTCGTCTAATCTTACAGACATAAATGCTGTCTGAATAAATCTTCACACATGTTTGATCTCTCAAAGAGAGATTTTTATGTCGGACAAATTGCCAATATGTAAGCAAACATCTACTTAATTAGTTTTCAAATTTCACCATTTATCACCTTTGGAGTCCTACTAAAGAAACTTGTGTGCGTACGTTTCTGACACATGGTGGCAATTTAAGGAGTTTCTCTAACATTATAGCCATATATTTGTGAAGTAATTCCTTTGAAACCAGGATCAGTACAACAAACCTTGCACATGCATGCATGACCTAAATGTCATATGTGCCTCAAAATCACTGTTGTGCTTCAACAAAGTGCGCTTTGATTCAACAGAGGCTGAAAGATCGAAATTAACCTTTAGGATCATTAGCTATTATCATCATCTGTATTATAAACAATGTCGTAACTTGGAACCACGAACGCATACATGATAAATCAGCGGTTTACTGATAAATTATGCAGCCAGTTTCTAGTTGGAAGCTGGCGGTCCCTTTAGGCATGATAAGAGCTTTCATTATGAGTACCAGCAGCGTTAATGCTGCAGTGTCAGACGTCAGACCCCCAAAAAACATAACATAACATTTCCCCCAACAATTACCTTGGGTGGGAGTAGTTTGGGTCATGCCTCAAAGTTTACTTTGTGGGACAACTGGCAGGGTTATGTGTGCCTTCAAAAGAGAATTTAGAATGTATTTTTAATAATAATAATAATAATTTTAGTATTTTTTAAGTATTATTTCAGTAATATTTTTATTTTAGATTTTTTCATTTTAGATTTTCTTTATTTTAGATTTTATCTCCCAAAACACTTATACAGATAACAGACAAATAATTAAAAAAAAAAACATGCAAGAGAATTAAATAATAAAATAATAAGTAAATAAATAAAATAAGTTTAAGATCTAATCTTTAATAAACTATTTTCATCTAAGATTAAATTACATTTATTTACATTTAAATGTAGAAAACAACTCAATGTGAAGTACAATGAAAATAGAATGAAATTAAATCCATATAACTTCAGTAAGTGTAGTTTTAACACAGATAACTGAAAAACAATTAAAACAAAAATAAACATGCATAATAAAGAAATAAAATAAAAACTATCCAACAAAGAAATGTCTTATGATCTAAGATTCAATTAAATTTTTAATTAAATTATTCAAATTTAGAATACAAATACATTTAAGTAAAATTATTTTAAATTCATATAACTGTAAGTGTAGTTTTTAATAATACTTTTTATCATACAAATAGATCATATGGGGTGTTTCTTGCGTTAAATGATTAAACATCAAATGATCTTAGCAAAATAATAAGCAATATTTGAAATTGATGTCCAACCTTTATAACGAAGTTTACATAAAAATGGCAAAGGAAGATCGGTGAAAGCGGCTTACATCACCATCTAAACAAAGCTGCAGGGCAAGAGGTCCTCCAGAGACACCAACCAATCACAGGGCTCGAGCAATGTCTGACAAATCACATTTGAGTATCCATTTAGACTTTTATCTCATTCTTGACCTGTACATCGTCCCTTTTAATTGACTTATTGAATATATTTTCTTGGCGTGAAATATCATATTAGGATTATTTCTACAAAATCAGGTCTTTATGATTAATTTATGTCTTATATAACCGTTCCGTAGATTGCAAACAATCTACACAATTCATGCAATTAAACGCTACAGTTTGAGGGATGACAGGGGCTCCATAAAAGGACAACACTGGAACTGTCCAGAAAGATGACCATGAGTGGATTTTCAGGGCAGATGATTTCTGACAGGGAGCTGTTTTCTCTCCCCAGGTCATTTCTGGTCTGAATTAGGCTCTTTTTATTGTTGTAAAACAAAAATTCTACATTAGGTAACTAAATCCAGCAGCACTGACTGAATCAGGCCAACAGCCAAAGCAGTGCTCATAAACTGCTATTATATTTTATAATGTGACATTTCCTGATTGAAGAATAAGTGGGCGGCTGACAAATAACATGAACTTTTGTTCAACATCAAGATTTTAGAATAAAGTCATCTGCATGTGTAAGGGAAAATATGTATTTTACATGCTTTAAAATGTTCACCCGGTCAAACTCAAATGCCATTTTGACTCCCCATGACTTACTACAGATATAATGAACAGGATATTAAAATTATTCACATTATTTGACATATTTAACACAGTGAAGTGAGAAATGCTTAACTTAAAACATATGTAGATGTCTGTTTGTCAATTAGCATTTGGCAGTTGCAATTTGCATTTTGCATTTCTTTGTTGAATTGTTTTGTTTTATTGAAATTTGTATGTAATGCTTTCACTGCCTGTGTGTATTTTTATGTTCTTGTATATGTACAGATACAAATATGTCTTTATGTATGTTTATTTTATTTATTTTTTGCCACATTATTCATTATTCAAATATTCACTGAACAGTAATATAAATATTGACACATATGGGTTATGTGTTATTAGAATTAAAAATAAATAAATACTATAAATAATAAAAAAGAAAATAAAACTACTCTATAAAATAATTTTAAAATAATAATACAGATATTTTTATGTGCACAAAAGGCACATTTCATGTCATAAAAAATGCATGCATAAAAATGTTAAACTATTAAAAAGTGCTGTTTTAGATGGTGTATAGCATGTTATACTACAGGACACTGCATGTCAAATGCACAGTTTACTCCTGTTAAACTACATAACATTTATTGGACATTAAAATGTAGTCGATCCATGGCAATATCGAAGGGTCAGGATTACACAGATGCTGGAAGTGGTTCAAAATCCCTGATCCGTACCATAAAAGAACTATGTCAATCCTGCCAAGCACTTCACATAAAACTGGGCTGGAGTTCAATAAAACACAGCTACCCTTGAGTGGAGGAGAGCTATGTGCAACGTGTGAAAACAAACATCGGATCAATCCGGCTGTGGTATTCCCAAAGGAAAGGTGTATAGCTATGTGTAAAGTTTCACCTTCAGAAAAAGGGCCCTTAAGTTTGCGTAATTGTGAGGAGCATTCTGGCATTGGCTCTCTCTATCGCATGTTTCCCATGAGAATGATTTCAGTCGGGGCAAAGAGTCACTCGGTTTGACCTCTATCCCCAAGAGCACAGCCTCACCACAAACTGAACCAAAATAAGAATTATGTAAAAATAAACAAGTAAGGGGTAAGGGGCATAGTGCATTAAAAAGTCTCATGAAAAGTAACATCAATCTGCAGCTTGAAATAAGCCTGCAAAATCTATCTATCATCTATCTAATCTATCTATCTTATCTATCTATCTATCTATCTATCTGTCTGTCTGTCTGTCTGTCTGTCTGTCTGTCTGTCTGTCTGTCTGTCTGTCTGTCTGTCTGTCTATCGTTCTATCGATCATTCTATTGTTTTATCATTCTGCTGTTCTATCATTCTATTTATATCTATCTGTCTCTCTGTCTATCTGTCTGTCTGTCTGTCTGTCTGTCTCAAACGCCAACATTAAAAGTTTTTGTATATAAAAAATTTGCATATCCTGTTAAAATTACAGTTACTGTAATTTTACTGTAATATAGATTTTTGTACTTCCTAACTATCAAAGTGCAATTCTGCATGCTTTTTTCTACTTCAGTTCAAATTCTGAAATAGAATTAGAATTTAAAAGGCATTCTCCATCCATTTCTCAGTGGTGCACATCCTTTTTATTTCTTAAGAGAGAATTATGTGGAGAATTTGTCATTAATGAGCAAAATCTGACCATAACCAATTTCAGAACAGCCTTAAACGGGGAGAAGAAGCTCTCTATCCTCCAGGCCACATGGGTGAGGAAATGCTGCAGAGGAGACGAGAGACAGAACGTGTGTTAATAGACCTCCCTCAGCCTCCCCCCACTCCTCCACACACTCCCTCACTCCCAGATAAGAGGGCAGAACTCTCTCACTCCGGTCATTTCACACACCGCTCTGGGATAGGAAGGAAAGTTCTCCTCTTTTGTTTACTTTTCTTTCGTGTTAAGAGCCTACAGATTGGGAGACTCATTTAGACGGGCTGTCTCCGCTTCTCCTCGAATTCTTTCTTTGCCTACTTATCTATCAGTGAGAGTGTGTTGTGGTTACTCAAGGCTCAGTGCCTGTGTCCATTTCTCCAGGGGAACCTCGTGAAAACCAGGAGCTTCTGGTCCTGCAATCCAACTGTGAAGAGAAAAGAGTCAAAAAAAGCCTCTTCATCTCCATCCAACCATGTGTTCTTCCATCAAAAGAGTTTGAACTACTGAGTTGGCACCTTGGCTTGATCGCAGGTGGCCTTTGCTTTTGCTCCCGCTGCCATGAGGTTTGCCAGAAGCGGTTGGCATTTGGCACTACTGCTGGCGTCCGTTGGCCTGGTGAGTTCCGGAAACGGGAACGGTCAAGGGAGACGCGGGGGAGGCGAGAGGCGGAGGAAGCTTCACCGCGTGCAGCACGGCCAGTGCAGCTACACCTTCATCCTGCCGGAGATGGAGAGCTGTCAGGGTGGATCGGAACAGAAGAGCGGGACCAACGTGGTTCAGCGAGATTCCCCGCCGGCGGACGGCGAGTGGCCCGTTCAGAAGTTGCAGCATCTGGAGTCGGCCATGGAAAACAACACGCAGTGGCTACTGAAGGTGAGAATGACCTCATAATGAGACACTTTCATAAAAAAGTGTTGTCTTTGAGAAAAAGGGAAAAATTAAGACGAAGTTGGGCTGTAATGCTGCCAGTATTTCAAGTGTAGGTGTAATGTTGCCTTCAAGTCATGTTGGGAATGACTGTATTAATGACTTGCAGACACATTTTTCAATCCTCAACTTTCCAAGTCTGAGGAATGGCGATTAAAAAAATCATGGAAGAAGCAGTTGGTACTTATCATAATTAAGTTTAAATTGTTAATGTTGATGGTGCAGTTTAGTTTGTACACAGTTTAGCGTACTAATGATGATAAATAGAGGAAAAGCTTGCCAGAAAATACTACTCATTTAGCTGGTTTATAAGGGGACAGTCTTATACAACTACACTTCCCATCATCCTCTCTGTCCATGCTAGAATACTAAAATGCAAGATAATACATAAATTACTCATCTAATGTGCATGTTTTGGTGCACTAGCAGCAGAACAGCTTTGGGCTGTAATGCTGGCTTCAAGTCATGTTGGGAGTGATTGTATTTACGAGTTGTGAACACATTTTATAAGCCTTAATTGTCCAAGTCTTAGGCAGGACGATTAAAAAAATCACAGAGGAAGCAATTGGTATTTATCATAATTAAGTTTAAATTGTTCATGTTGATGGTGCAATTTAGTTTGTACACAATTTAGTGTAATAATGTAGAAGAATAGAGGAAAAGCTTGCCAGAAAGTACTACTCATTTAGCTGAGGTGACAGGCTTCTGCAACAAAACTACACTTCCCATCATTCTCTCTGTCCACAATTTTAGAATACTATAATACAAGATAATACATAAATTACTCACCTAATGCACTTGTTTTGCTGCACTATATCATCCAAAATGCTTTGTCTTTGAGAAAAAGCGGGAAATAAATATAAAGTTGACCTAAATATTTTCAGACCTTGAACACTAATTATAACTTTTAAACTCATAATTAAGAACTTACCAGAAGGACTTGAAGGCAGCCTAAAAACTGAATTGGTGCATTGCATTCTGACAAGGAAAATTCAGTGCATCAGAATTTAATTATCGATTATAATTACTATAACAATATGCAATGTATTCTGCATCCAATTCTTATCAAAAACAATTATTAGCCTATAATTTATTGTGTAAAATGAAAAATCAATTGTCTAAATAAAAAGTCAATTTAAAAGTGTGAAAGTAAATTGTCCCTGTAGTTGAATGTAGGTCTTAAGCATAATAAAATCATTAAAATAATGACCAAACTGCAGAATTTATGATGCATTGCATCATTTAACAAATGATCGTAATCAAACTGAATACCGGTCAGAGCAAACGCTTACACCCCTGCTTCAGATGTAAAGACCTGTAGCCCATGTGTATTCAGATGGGTGAACTGTAAGGGTGCAGACGCTGGCCAAATGGCCAGATGTAGAGGCTGGCTGAGCTGGTTTGAGAAGCTGAGCGATGCAAATACATTTATCACAATAGAATGGAAAGAAGTTCTGGTTGAATACTCAATACTGCATGGTTTCCAAAAACACAGCCTGTTGAAAGGCGACTCAGCCATTTGATGGATTCCAAGACCTCCAATGCTTTTGGAACTGTCATGTGTGATTTCCATTAACAGGACTCTTATTTGCAGCTTCAGCTAAGTGCATTGACTAAGCACCGTTTCAGACATCAAAGTGAGCTTACAAGAACTTTCACATCTGAATAAATAGATGAAACACTAATTTCAGTAATAATACAGAAGTGGCAATTAAACAGGAGCCAGATGATAAAACCAGAGAAGCATTTGATCTGCATAAGTGACTGCAGAGTGATTTATTACTCCATTCAAATGTGAAGAATGCAAGTTTTGGTTGGCCCTTCAAGGGAACTTTGCTCAGTGACATTAATTGAACTAATGAATAGATGAAGTGCCGTGGTGTAGAGTGAAAGTTTGCCGTGTGTGTGCATGTTTGTATTCAGTGGACCGCCCAAGTTGACAATCAATACATCTCAAAGGGAGATGGCTTGCACCTCCACAGGAAAGAGACGCGACCCTTGACTCTGTTTAAGAAGAGGTCAGATTGCGATAAGAGTCATTTAATTATAAACACTTGCTGCTCTTGTTACATTCATGCTTTTTTAAAATTAAATTGGTGGTAAATAACAAGGAGCATAAAATACTTAAAAACAGGCGTATATCATCAATTCAATAAATCACTTATTCACTCAAGATGCAAATATAGAAATAACTAAATTTGCTTTCTCAGTTGTGCATTTACACGCAGTAAGGTCCAAAAGTCTGCACTATTTCAATGTCATTTGTAAGAAATACTGAAATTCAGATCATTTTTATTTCTGATGTTGTAATTTGTGATGGAAATAGAAAATATATTTAGTTAGAAAAATCCAAACAGAACACTTTTTTTGACATTGTATACAACTTAAATGGAATATAAAAATGTACATAGCTTAAATATGAATATTTAATATTAAAAACAAAATATTATATGTAACAATATATACTACATAGCAATATTGCATCAAAAATGAATAATAATAACAATAATATATAATTTTATCTATATAAATATATATATATATATATATATATATATATATATATATATACTAACAAAAAAATCCTTTGAACAGGCTAAATGTGCTGACTTGAATGTTAGGTATTCTGTAAGCTAATTAAAATCCTTTGAGGGCCTGGTACATGTGTTGCTCCGGCTGTATAATTGGGCAAAATGTTTATGGAGGAGGAGTGTTTAGTTTACTGGCAAATGACTGAAACTAAACGGATATGCCCTCTTAGATTGCTCCTGCTGCTCACCCCTTACCTGATAACTGCATTCACAAGCAATGGGAGACATGCCATGTATCTGACTCCATTAACAGGAAAGAGAGGGGAGGAGGGTGGTATACGGAGCATAGGAGTGTATGGAAAGCATGAGGAGCCATTTGAAGTCTTTGCTTATTTTTTGTGTAATGGCCGTAGACCAAAGATCTCCCTGGAAAAGAGTTCTTCAAAGGCCAAGGGATTAGCGATTGTACGTCCCATTTAGAGCAGCTTGAGATATGGCAAAGCCCCAGACCCCTTTGGGTGGGAGCCTCACTGGATGCTGAATAACAAGAAAAGAACCTTCAGAGCATTAAGCCAAAAAGCTGAATTCTGAATTGAACATTCTACACTTCTATTCACAGGCTTTTTGGCTTAATGCTCTGATTGGTATAGAAAAAAAATACATTGGAGCTGAGGAAAAGAAGGAATTGTTAACGTGAAGCTGTGAAAACATCTTCATTTAACAGAGAAAAAAAGTGCACTATTTTATTATTCATGCATTACTGGTGGGGATTTTGCAGTGACTCTCTGCATGTTTACGTCGTTATACCAGGTGCTGGCGACAAGTGAGTGTGTTTATGAGCAATTCTTTGAATCATTCATTAACCGATTCATTCACAACGATTCATTCATCAACATAATACCAGATACTTTCTACTTGCTGAAATGAATTAAAAAATTAATAAATATATTACCGAAATGAGTACTTTTATTCAGCAAGGATACATCAAAATTGATCAAAAGTGACAGTATAAAGAATACTAGAATACTATGATTTTTTAAACCTTTCTAGTAACCTAAGAATCCTGAAAATGAAATGCATCATGATTTTCACAAAAATATTAAGTTTCACAACTGTTTTCAACATTTATAATAATAATAAATGTTTCTTTTTATCACCAAATCAGCATATTAGAATGATTTCTGAAGGATCATGTGACACAGAAGACTGGAGTAATGATGCTGAAAATTCAGCTTTGCATCACACATTTAAATTATGTTTTCAAATGTAGTGTCTTATTTTTAAATTGTAATAATATTTCACAATATCACTGTTTATATTTGATCAAATAAATGAAGCCTTGAAAGCTAGTGTATAATTATATATATATATATATATATATATATATATATACACACACACACACACATACATATACACATGTATTTTATACATAGGCCTATAATACGTTTAATTAATTATTATTACATTTATTTATATATTCTTTGTCAATACACAACCTGTTTCTGAAGGATCATGTGACACAGAAGACTGGAGTAATGATGCTGAAAATTCAGCTTTGCATCACACATTTAAATTATGTTTTCAAATGTAGTGTCTTATTTTTAAATTGTAATAATATTTCACAATATCACTGTTTATATTTGATCAAATAAATGAAGCCTTGAAAGCTAGTGTATAATTATATATATATATATATATATATATATATATATATACACACACACACACACATACATATACACATGTATTTTATACATAGGCCTATAATACGTTTAATTAATTATTATTATTACATTTATTTATATATTCTTTGTCAATACACAACCTGTTTAATGTTTGGACTAAGTTTGGAATAAGTGTTTAGCATGATCTTAAGACTATCTAGTTTTATGCTTAAATCAAAAGTTTAATTAAGTCCCAACTCTCCTCAGTAAGCCACATGGTTTGAGGTATGATTCACGTCTGTAGTGCAAATTTTGCAGGACAACTACACACCAAAGTTTAATACTTATCGTTAGGGGTTTGTTCAAATCCCTAACCCTAAGTTTGAGCAATAATAATAGTGATGCTTGCCTAATTATTAGTAATGCAGCACAATGCCAATGGTCAGCAGGCCTCATAACTGAAACAAGACCTGCAATTTGGTAACAGTTATGCATTAATCACTCGGCAATCAATGCTCTTTTCCAAGGACGCTGTAAAAACAACATTTAGAGCCAAATGTAGGCCTACTTTAAGCTGTTTGAGCAAAGGTGGCTCAATTATTACGTCGTAAAAGAGCTGCTTAGAAAATGAAAGCTAGAAAGTAAATACTAAAAGAAGACAAGAACAGTAAAACTTCTCAGCATGTGACTGGTTTTAATACGTGCTGTCTCTCCTAATGCAACATCACATTAACAAGCCTTCAGAGTC